CGCCCCGCACGACCCGACCCGACCAAAAAGCGCAGTTCCAGCGGCCGCCTGAGGGACAGACAGACCCACTGGCGGTCGCAGGGGGGGGCCACGGGGGCCATGGCCCCCCCCTTTGGTGCTGAAAGGTGGGGCCATACTATCTTTTGGCCCCACCTTTCAGATCGAACAAAAGTCCTAGAAAAGCTTTTCGTATGTTTCATTTTATTTCTTGCGCCATCAAAGGACGTAAATTTCACTCATGAGTGGGCTCAGTTTCGCATTCTGTCAATTTGGCGGTCAGCGTCGCTGGCACCGGTTCACGAGTATGGCCGGATCTTATATGGAATATCAGCGTGGGTTTACTTGAGGCTCTCGTAGGCCCAGCATTCAGCAATGGCTGGCATGAGACCCTCTTCGGCAGTGGCGGGTGGGCCCTGCTAAAGGAGATTGGCTCCAAGACACTAAAGTAAGACCTCATGGGTTGGTGCTGTGCACCTCAGAAGCCCGGTGGTGACGCCGTATGCCGGCTTGGTTTCTTAAGGATTAGCGTGGGACCTCCGGGGCCTGCATAGAGTTTGCATGAGCTAGTATATAATCTCAGAGGCATGTGTGTAATGTGTACACAGTGGCGGTCGCGGGGGGCCGGGGGGGGCATCAGGGCCATGCCCCCAAAGGTCAATAAAGGGGGCCATCATATCATTTGCCCCCCCCCCTCAAACAACCAATGGGCCCCCATATAGGTGTATGGGGCCCTGGCAATTATTCGATCGTCACGAGGCTAAAAAAAAAAAAAACACGCCCAGCTATTAATATAGCTCCCACACCGGTCTTTGAACGTCCTACACTGACCTCTGAGGGAACTTCAGTGGCGGTCAAGCGCCCACGTTGACCGCTAAGAGCCTACATCAACCTCTGAGGCCCCACATCTGGCCTATGAGGGCCCCTAACCGGCCTCAGGGGTCCCAACCGGCGTCTGAGGGTCTCACACCGGTCTCCGGTGGCCTTATTTCTGTCTCTGGTGTCCCAAGACGAACCTTTAGGTGCCAATAAGGGCCCCGCACTGGCTGCTGAAGACCCGATGCCGGCCTCTAAGGGTCTGCATTGGCCTCTGAGGAGGGCCCATCTTGGCCTTTGAGGGCCCTCTGCTGGCCTCTGGGGTCCAACGACGGCTCATGCCGGTCTTTTAGGGCCCCACGCTGACCTCTGAGGGCCCATGCTGGCCTGTAATGAGTAAGGACCCACATTAGCCTCTGAGAGCCCAACTCGGTCTCTGATGGTCTCAAACTATTGGCCTTTGTAGTTTGCAGGCCCTGTACTGGTCTCTGAGGGCTCTAAACTAGCCTCTACATGAAAACATACATATTGGGTGGGTTTCTGAAGATCAGAGGGCTCACGCAGTCTCCGGCACAGCCTTACGTTGGTCCTGATCGAGATTGCTTTACGTCCTGATGGTCCCGCGCTGATTCCCTCATATTTCGAGGTCGGGACCCCATGAGCCGGTGTGGGTCCTGGGGCTGGCAGAGACTGATGAAGTCCTTAGGGCTCAGGGCCAGTCTTTTTAGCAGTAGGACTAGGCAGGTTGAGTGAGCCCCAACAGAGCCGTTGCGAAGCCCCGCAGGAGTCGCGCGCGGCCCTCAGATGCCAATTCTGAAAGCTCGGAACCTGTGGGGGTCTCCAGAGGCCGGTGTACCTACTCTCTCCCGCCGCCACACAACTAGGTACCTATATGGGTAAATGTCATAGTCTAAAAATGCTCTCTGGGTTTCACATGCTTGTTCAAAGCAAGAGGTATCTGTACTTTTTAGCAAGATGTATCTGTACTTTTCCGAATTGTTTTATAGTGGTAAGGTCATGAATCCGCGTGCCTGACCTTCCAGTATACCTATGCTACACCGATCCGTCGTCATGGACGGTGCAGCGGCCCGACCGGTGGGCACACCGTGAGACGGTAAATGGAACTAGTGATTTTGCCTTAAATTGAGCTCAAAGATTTCACGCAAGAATGAGATGGATGAAGCATAAGTAATGCCAACTGTGCGGCGCCTCGTGGACGTAAAAAATTAGCCGATCACCCCCCCCCCCCTCCCGGTGACGGATAAATGTTATGTCCCGCGAGTGTGACTTTGGCCCCCCCTTTTGCTAGCGGCTGCGACCGCCAGTGGACAGACCTTGACCTGACCTCCACCAGAAAGTGACCTAAACCGTACCTGATGGTCTTAGGTACAGGTAGGTATCTTAGGATGGTACAAGGTTAGTTAATAAGGTGAGTTAACAAGGCTCACCTTATTAACTAACCTTGTTGGGTCCCACCTACTTGGCAGGCTGATAGGATATAGCAAAGTGAAAAGATAGATGAGGAACCAATATAACAAAAAGAGCGCCAGTTTGATGAAAATGTAATGGTGAACAGGCAGAGAATAATATTTAATGTAATTAATGTTTGCAAACCTCTCCTCACATGAAAAACCTTTGGGCAACCTTTTAGATACAAACCACCTGAGAATGACTTTTTGATGCCTGGAATCGTATTCTCTCTGTCAGGAAGTAGATTCTGTAACGGTGGGGCAGGCGTCACCAACAGCTTTCTGTTGTAAACAGCCAAGGTTGATGCATTATTAGGGCCCAAATGCATAAAACATTTACGCGAGATTACCCACAATGCTCGGGCCTCGGACACGTTGATGACGTCACTGGTGGCAGTTCGATCTATGCATACTATCGATGCAGGGTTTTCTATCGATATGAGAAGTTTGATTTGCGGAACTGGAAGACCACACGTGATAATGCATTTTGAACTCTAGGATGAGACTGAGATCGCTGGTTCGAACCCTACCGGCGCGGCGGCAAGAATTAACCGGGCATTTAACATATTTTGAAATTCTTTTATAGATCGAAGGTTTATTTTCGGCGACGGGGTAACGTAGTTTTATTAGATATACCCTGGCGCGAACTGTTAAGTGATGTACTGCCCCGTGCTCGACTTAAAGACGTGACGTAGTTACTCGTGGGAGAGATTGCAGGCAATAGTAAGTCAAATATTTTAGGTTAAGTGGTTGTGTATCTGACGAATCCAATGATACCCAGTTTTACCTTCTCAGGTCAGTCATTGACCTTCCAGGTCAGGTTAAACTAAAAAATAATGCTGTTTTGGGTCACCGTTGGATATCAAGTGCGCTGCTTATCAAATACCTATGACGATGCTGTTTTCTGGTGCCAAGCCAGCTAGGACCTCTTTGTCACACTACCCGACCAGAATTTTGCTGCTGAGGTCATTTCAGGTCAAGTTAGGTCAAGGTCAATTATATGTGTTTATATATCTGTGTGTGTCTGTGCGGATACTGATGTGTGCACCAATTGTTTTTGGGTCCAAATTACATGAAATCATGATCTGCGAAGCTTTTACCAAAAAATGCAGTCAAAAAACTTCACAAAAAGTAAATTCAGCTTGCCTAAAACGCAATTATCTTGGATGACCTAAGTTGACCTTGACCCTGACCTTGACCCCTGTACATCGTCGAACATGTTCCATGATAGGTGGGAGGTAAGACTGGCAAAAAAGGCCGAAATCAGGGTGTCAAAAGCTCACAAGGCCCATGGCAAACGCAAGATGTTGAGAATTGGCCATTTGGGTCATGACATAACCTGAAAAACAAGGTCATATCTCCGAAACCAAAAATCACAGAAACTTGAAATTTTCAGTGGACATCAAGAAAGGATAGAGGAGCAGCTATACGAAAAATCAGCCTTCTAGCTCTAAAAATGTTGAGTGCACAGCAGAAAGACTACCTGGGGGGGTTGCAACCACCCCCCCCCCCCCCATGTGTGGGCGAGGGTTAACCCCAGTAGGCAAAATCAGTAGGTTAGGGTAGGTAGGTTAGGTTAGGTTAGGTTAGGTTAGGTTAGGTTAGGTTAGGTTAGATTAGGTTAGGTTAGGTCAGACACAGCCATCAGAGACAACAGTTATCCAATTCGCCGGTGAAAATAGGCTCCCGATCTAATAACGGATTGAAAACTCGATAAAAGGCATGGCAATTTCTTGCCGCCGATGGGATTCGAACCAGCGATCTCAATCTTGTTAGATAGCTCAAAAGTCATTTTCACGTGTGATTTTCCGCATTGCAAATCAAAGTTCTCATATCAATAGAAAACCCTGCATCGATAGTACATTTAGATCGAGCATACCAATTATTTTAGCCACCAGTGATGTCATCAACGTGTCCGAGCATTGTGGGTAATCTCACGCAAATGTCATGCGTTCGGGCCCTAATAATGCATGAACCTTGTTTGTTTACAACAGAAAGCTATAGGTGATGCCTGCCCCACCGTTACCGTAGATTCTCACTATAGAAAATGTGTGATTTGATAGGCAAAGGTATCGTGTCAGACATTGTGATATTTATTCACTTTCGATAACACAAAAGCAAATATTCTAAATAGCCAGACGATGTCCAGGTCATGTGGATTTTGAAAGTGTAAAAGATTATATTGTTTAATTTATTAATGTATTAGTATCTCGGTATTGTCACTGACGAAGGCACCCTGTGCCTGAGGCCGAAACGTCTGGCTATTTAGAATATTTGCTTTTGTGTTATCATCGAAAGTGAATAAATATCATAGGCAAAGGTCTTAAAGATCACCAACCTTCGTGTTACGTCTGCTCTGCTAATACTAGAAATTGTAGGTTGTAGGTTTTTAGGTTGTAGGTTGTGTCAAGTTGTAGGTTTGTAGGCTTCAGGTTATAGGTTGGTAGGTAAGTTTGCAAGTTGTAGGTTTGTAGGTTGTAGGTTGGTAGGTTGTAGGTAAGGTTAGATCAGGTTTGATATTTTTTCTTGTATCAGCGCCACATGCGAGTATCATATCTGGATTCAGGATGTCAAACAGTGTAAAAACGTGCAAAATTTATGTCTAAAAAGTGAATCGGACTCTTGAACATTAACCCTCTGTCCTTCCAAAGTCCCACAAACAGTAAGGCAAGGTAGACAAGGAATGTAATCATACCCATTCAACCCAGCACTCCTCACCTCTCACTCTACTCCCCTACAACAACTTTGCGCAACCCCCCCTAAGCCCAAAGCCTAAGCCAGCCACACCTCGAAGCCTCGAAGCACACCACACGCACACTTCCCGCACACGTGGTACAGAGGCCAAGGCTATATAAACGACGTCTGTCAATTCCGCAGCAACGAATATCAGCCTCACAGCAGCATATTTCGGGGTCTTTCGAATTGGCTGGAAATGGTATACAGGGCCTCCTCGATGCGCTGATTCCGAAAATGTACCTCCTTGGGTGGGTTGGTATTTTGCCTCGTTAACGAGTTAACGACCAATTAACATTTTAACGGGAAACGGCGGGGTCTTTCGATTTGGCTGAAAATCAGTATACAGGGCCTCCTCGATGCGCTGATTCCGAAAATGTGCCTCTTTGGGGTGGTATTTTGCACCGTTAACGAGTTAACGGCAAATTGACATTTAAACGGGAAACAGCGGGGTCTTTCAATTTGGCTGAAAATCGGTGTACAGGGCCTTCTCGATGCGCTGAGGGCTGTTCACGGGCCCTGTGTGCGGTCGGACCGCACACAGCCTCCAAGCTCCGCCCACTGCGTCCCTACGTCAGCCTTCCGTCACCGCACACAGCGATCGCTGTGGCCGGTCGGGACTGGCCACAGCGGACCGTCCACCGCACGCAGCCGTGACGTCAGAACCGCCTACCCATCCCCTACCCCCACGCCTGCTGGACGCACCGCACACAGCGCACGCAGCAGTGTGCGGTGCCCGTGAACACCCCTCTGATTCCGAAAATGTGCCTCTTTGGGGTGGTCTTTTTCACCGTTAACGAGTTAACGGCCAATTAACATTTAAACGGGAAACAGCGGGGTCTTTCGATTTGGCTGAAAATCGGTGTACAGGGCCTTCTCAATGCGCTGATTCCGAAAATGTACCTCTTTGGGGTGGTATTTTGCACCGTTAACGAGTTAACGAACAATTAACATTTTAACGGGAAACGGCGGGGTCTTTCGATTTGGCTGAAAATCAGTATACAGGGCCTACTCGATGCACTGATTCCGAAAATATGCGTCTTTGGGGTGGTATTTTGCACCGTTAACGAGTTAACGAACAATTAACATTTTAACGGGAAACGGCGGGGTCTTTCGATTTGGCTGAAAATCGGTATCCAGGGCCTCCTCGATGCGCTGATTCCGAAAATGTACCTCTTTGGGGTGGTATTTTTCACTGTTAACGAGTTAACGACCAATTAACATTTTAACGGGAAACGGCGAGGTCTTTTGATTTGGCTGAAAACCGGTATACAGGGCCTCCTCGATGCACTGATTTCGAAAATGTGCCTCTTTGGGGTGGTATTTTGCACCGTTAACGAGTTAACGATCCGTTAACATTTCAGCAGCATATATCGACCCAGTAAACATGCCGACGTCGGCCCGACGTCGGGCCGAGGCTCGGCCCGACGTCGGCCCAACGTCGGTTCAACCTCGGCCCGACAACGGCTGGACGTCGGGTATGCCCGCATGTTCCGACGTCCAGCCGAAGTCCAGCCGACGTCGGAGGTCGTTTGCCGAGGTTGACGAGATCGTTTGTCGTTGGACCGACGGGGCCGACGTCGGCATGTTTATTGGGACAACGCGCCAAAAATATCAACCGGCGGCGGGATTCGAGCCCCCCAGTCGCCGACGTTGGCATGTTTACTGGGACAACACGCCAAAAGCATCAGCCGGCGATGGGATTCGAGCCCCGTGTCATTTGAACGCGAGGTTAGTGCGCTAACCACTACACCACGCAGCCAGATAGCGAATTTAGTTTGTTTTGTTGGGTTATGCCTTTTCGGTCTGACAAGACCATTTCAGAGCCGGAAGGATGATAGGATGGAGACATTGGTCTTCTTGGCGAGCACCCTGGGTCCAGTTCATATAGAGTCCCTGGTCCCATTGCTGTTACGTGACACTTATTGGAAAGGGCCACCCCACAATGGATTCATATAGCCACCCTTACACACCTGCACCAACGTTTCCCAAAGTGCCCCTTTGATAAGTGGCACTTTGGCAAAGTGACACTTGCCGACTGGCCTTTCTATATGAACTGGGCCTGGCCCTGGTGAGTTGCCGGGGCTGAGCCTGACCAAAGGATAGGCCGAGCAGCCCCCAAGCACTCACCGCACCCGGCTACGGGCGAGCTCGGCTTACGGGCAATCCCAAATGGGATAAAGTTTCCCCGGATCAGGGGGTTGCGGCGTGGAGGAAGATTTGAGTTTCCTGAGGATATTTTGAATACAGAAGCTCTTTATGAAACATGAAACATGTATTTTATATTATTTTAACGGTCAAAACAGCGGCCGATGTCTGTCCAACGTCGCCCCGACGTCGCCCCGACGTCGGCCCGACGTCGGCTGGACCTCGGCTGGACGTCGATACATCCGGGCATATCTGACATCCACCCGACGTTGGTGCTGAGGTTGGACCGAAGTCGGGCCGACGTCGGCATGCCGATGCCGAGATGCCGACGTCACCCCGACGTCGGGCCGACGTCGGCATGTTTACTGGGGATTTCAGCAGCAAATTTTTGGGTCTTTCGATTAGGCTGAAAATCGGTGTCAGGGCCTCCTCGATGCGCTGAATCTGAAAATGCACCTCTTTGGGGTGGTATTTTGCACCGTTAACGAGGTAACGACCAATTAACATTTTAACGGGAAATGGCGGGGTCTTTCGATTTGGCTGGAAACCGGTATACAGGGCCTCCTCGATGCGCTACGAGGGGCGTTCAATAAGTTCCCGGCCCAACCATGAAGGAGTTGGAATTTCGGCCTGCAACGCGGTGTGTTCAATGATGTGTTATTGGGATGTCCACTTACGTAGCCATTAACCAATCTGCCCTGTGATTGGTTCAGGCTGCTAATTAATCGTAACATAGTTTGCCATTCCCGCGGTCAGAATGGGCGACGCCCAGAAGAGAACAGTGATTTGGTTCATGCATTGCAGAAAAATGCACCAAACGTTATTCACGAAAAGCTAGTGCCAACACATGTTGATGTTTGTCTTTCTTACAGTAGCGTCAAAAAGTGGACATCTCTGTTCAATTTTGGTCAACAGATCATTAATGGTCACCCCCGCAGTGGCCAGCCATCAACAGCATTGACTCAGGAAAATATGAAAAATAAGCACTTCTTTGTGAAAAATGACAAATGTTCTGGTCTGGAACAACGCAGCAGAAGCGGAGGTGTCTATAAGGTTCCTCAAAGCCATTCTTCGACAGCGTATTAATATGTTTAAGATCTTTGCATGATGCATCCCCCGTTTGCTGACTCCAGAGGAAAGGCAAACTCGAAAGGAGGCGTAACGCGAAACTTTTGGTCCCTATATCGAAGATCCAAAAGAGTTCATTGAACTACTTGTTACCGTGGACGGATTGTGGGTGTCACACGTTGACCCTAAGGGCGTGACCGAGTTGCACAAGTGGAAGCACACTAAGTAAAGGCCACCAAATGTGTGCGACGTGTTTAAGTCAGACGGCAGGGTGACAGTGGTTGCATTTTGGGAGCCTGGCGGGGCTCTGCTCGTCAACTTTCTAAAACAGGGGCGCACAATTAATGATGAATACTACACGTTCCTTCGATGACAGTAGCGAGCAGCAGATATCAAGGAGAGACTAGGGAAGCTGACTAAAAGTGTGCGCCTGATCCAGGACCACGCACCAGCACACGTGAGCAGGGTGACGATCAGCGAAGCAGTGAGCTCTGGCCTCGAGTTGTTGTCACAGCCACTTAGTTTCTCCGTACCTTGCACCCTCAGGTCGCAACCTCTTCAGCAACATAAGGAAATTGCTTAGCAGTGGCAACTTCGCTGACAGCAAGGAGACAAAAGCAGCCGTCTTGGACGTGCCAGATGCGTCCAAAACCCACTTGGCTATGGAGGCCCAGGGGCCTCTCGCGAAGCGCTGCGCGAAATGTTTTTGTCTTAACGCTGGTTATTTGACTAAATGAACATTTTTGGTCTAATAAGTCGACATCGTATCTCTGCTCCTTCATGGTCGGGACGAGAACTTTTTGAACGCCCCTCGTACTTTCGAAAATATGCCTCTTTGGGGTGGTATTTTGCACCATTAACGAGTTAACGATCCGTCAACATTTCAGCAGCATATATCGATTTCAGCAGCAAATTTTTGAGGTCTTTCGATTTGGCTTAAAATCGGTGTACACTGTACAGGGTCCCCTCGATGCGCTGATTCCGAAAATATGCCTTTTTGGGGTGGTATTTTCCACCGTTAATGAGTTAACGGCCAATTAGCATTTTAACGGGAAACAGCGGGGTCTTTCAATTTGACTGAAAATCGGTGTACAGGGCCTTCTCGATGCGCTGATTCCGAAAGTGTACCTCTTTGAGGCGGTACTTTGCACCGTTAACGAGTTAACGGCCAATTAACATTTTAACAGGGAACAGCGGGGTCTTTCGATTTGGCTTAAAATCGATATACAGGGCCTCCTCGATGCGCTGATTCCGAAAATGTACCTCTTTGGGGTGGTATTTTGCACCGTTAACGAGTTAACGACCAATTAACATTTTAACGGGAAACGGCGGGGTCTTGCGATTTGGCTGAAAATCTGTACCCAGGGCCTCCTCGATGCGCTGATTCCGAAAATGTACCTCTTTGGTGTGGTATTTTTCACCGTTAACGAGTTAACGACCAATTAACATTTTAACGGGAAACGGCGGGGTCTTTCGATTTGGCTGAAAACCGGTATACAGGGCCTCCTCGATGCGCTACTTTCGAAAATATGCCTCTTTGGGGTGGTATTTTGCACCGTTAACGAGTTAACGATCCGTTAACATTTCCGCAGCATATATCGATTGCAGCAGCAAATTTTTGAGGTCTTTCGATTTGGCTTAAAATCGGTGTACAGGGCCCCCTCGATGCGCTGATTCCAAAAATATGCCTTTTGGGGGTGGTATTTTGCACAGTTAATGAGTTAACGGCCAATTAGCAATTTAACGGGAAACAGCGGGGCCTTTCAATTTGACTGAAAATCGGTGTACAGGGCCTTCTCGATGCGCTGATTCCGAAAGTGTACCTCTTTGAGGTGGAACTTTGCACCGTTAACGAGTTA